TTTTAGTTGTCAATGGACCTTTATTTTATTTATTTATATGTGTTGCTGAGAATCATACCCTACATATGCTAGGCAAACACTCTACCATTGACCCTAGTCCCTATCTTGGTTTTTTTTGTTTTGTTTTGTTTTTGATGCCACTGTTTATTCCTGGAAGAATTTTACAGTCCTCTTTCAGAATGGGGATTGGGCAGAATGGGGTGAGTGGAAAGCAAGTGTGCACACAGGCCGCAGTCCAGGAGCTGAGCACTACCACTGATCTGGAGGTGAGGGAGATATTTTAACATAGAGTAGCTGGTGGGGAAGTGTTCAGATAATCCATTCTTTTCTTCAGTTCAGAATTCTCACCTTTCTTTGGAATTGTTCTGAATTTAGAGTCTCTCGAGTTTGTAGCCATTCTGGACTAGATAATACTGAACTTAAAATTATTTTCTAAATGAATTTAAAAACTTTAATTTTTTTCTCATGAATCAGTTGATAGTTGACCTCTGCGTTGTCTTTAGTTTTCCTGCATCACCTTTTATGTATTTTTGTCTTGTAACTTTGAATTCTATTGTGTTCCCACTCACAATTACTCTGTCCAATATTATTCCTTGGCTTCTAAGCTTATGGTATTTGTTTGAATATGTTTGTTTAAACAACACATTGCCCTGTGACATATCAGGTTGTTATTATATTTTCAGGTTTGTTAATTAACTAATTTATTTGTACACTCATTAATGCATTCACAAGTTGTCTTCTGAAATATATATATGGTCCTAAGTGCTGAGGAACCTGAAAATATCAAGACAAGTCCTCTACCCACTTGTTGAATGAGGGAAAGCCTATACATAAACATATATTTTATTCCATATGGTAAGTACACTTACACAACCTTATGGACCAAAGAAGAGGAATTAATCCAACCTCAGAGGAGGGGTTAGAGAAGACTTCATGGAGGTAACAGGGCCTGAGCAGAATCTTAAAGTAGTTAAAGTCACCCAAAGTAAGGCCCAGAGCTTGGGGCAGGGTAGTAAACATTTCAGGAATGGAAGCTCATTTCAGGTAGAAAGATTTTAAGACTGGAAACAACATTCATGGATGGGGGAATATTAGCAGTTTGATAACTTTAAGTTGGAGAGCTACTAGAAATGAAGCTAGAGTGGATGGGAAAGATCATGGGGGATCCTGAGCGACATTCTGAGAGTCTTGGGCTTAATTTTTCAGACAACTGGGAGCATTGAAGGTTTTTTTAAAAAGGTATAATGTGGTCAGATTTACATTTTTGAGACATCAACCTAGTGAGGAAAATGTTTTTTGAGGCGTACAAACCTGGAAGCTGGGTGATTATTTAAGGGAATGAGGAAATAAATCAGGTGAGGGACAATGAAGTCCTTGGTTGTAAAGATGGAGAGGAAGGAGTCAATGAGGATATATGTAGAGGACAGGAAGACAGAACTTGCTGTATCAACATATCGTGGGGAGTGAGAGAGCAGCAGAAATTGAAGATAGCTTCCTGCTTTATAGATAACTAGATAAATATGGTATAACCAAGTGTTTCTGAGAAACCAGATGGATGTGTCGAACTAGACAGTTGAATCTTGAAGCTCAGGGGAGAGATCTGAACTAGAGATACAGATTTGGGAGTGATGAGTATAGAGGAGGTATTTAGAATCAGGAGACTGGGTGATTTTCTCCTGTGGTGGGCTTAGACGAACACTGAACAAAAGATGGAATCCTGGGGAATATTCACATCTTAGAAGTGGGCTGGGGAAAAGCTCACAGAGGACATGGTTAAATAATATCAGAAAAGTATAGAGAGAAATTGGAGTGGTGGTGAATGTGGAATTCAAGGAGAGAAGAATTGGCTTTATCAAAATGCGGCAGAGGTTTCATGAAAAATGATCACTGGATTTGGCAATAAGAATGTCACATAAAAAGGAAGATGTTTCCGGAGAATGGAGCCAGAAACCAGACTGCACAGTGGGTTAAGGCATGAAATGGAAATTAAGGAGTGACATCAGTAACTATATATAGCTCCTCTTTCAGGAACTTGAGGTAAAGGCAAAAACAGAGCTTAGGTGGCCTGCCTTCCCATCTCAGAGGATCCTAAGCACCTTAAGAGAAGCATCCAGCAATGTAACATGCACATTTATAATTAATAAAGATTAGTTAGATAAGTAGCTCTAATCAAATAGTATCAAACCTTTAAATTTTACTTAGCCTTTTTTTTTTCCTGCTTCACATTATTTTCTTTCTTATCTTTTGAATGTTGGAAAAAGTGTAAGTACTCAGAGGTTACCCATAGAAATCTCTATGTCTCATTTTGAGAAATTGGGCTCAAGCCATTTACTGCTTTCGTCATTAAAAAATAAATAAATAATAATAGGTGTCATTTGCACAGTAATCAGAATTCCATCAAGAAATACTGTGTCCATTAAGTTATGTTATTATAATCACTAGCATTAGAATAACGAGGTTGTGACCATGTTCATCTCTAAAATATTTAATGTTGTTTAGTAAAGTCATAATAGATGGGAGGCTAGGCTTTCAGAAATCAAAGGTTGAACTATGTACCCTGTGAGTGTTCTTGAAATAGTTATTGAATGACTAACCATTTATTTCATGGGCCAACACAGATGAGCCTAATGCTCAGGTAAGCCTATTTGAAGAAGTACACTCACACAAAAGACTGACTTAAAGGACTCTCAGGGAAATGTTAGTGATATGAAACTAGTTGACATGTCTAAAAATCCCTTACAAATCTGAAAGAAAAAATTATAACTATCAAGACAATAAAGTAAAAACATATGTCTTACATGGATATTATTTCTGTTAAGTTTGTTAGAAATCTGTTCTGAGCAAGATTTTGAATTTTATGGAATAGAACTTCTTTTTTTTTTGTTGTTGTTGTTTTAATAAAGTTTTATTTTTCCAAATGTACAGTTGATTGGACCTGTTCATGCATCTTCACCAAAAGCTAGGGCATCTCTACCCTTGGTATTTCTGGTATAAATTACTTGAGCTCTGTGCTTTGAAACCAGTTTGATAAGCCCTTTACTGAGGAGCTCCTGAAATGCTTCCCTGGCCAGGAAACCTCGAATCTTCTGTCTCTCAGAGACCACAGCTGGGTCTTATAAGCTTATAGTTGGGAACTTCCTTACAGAGTTTGACATAAGAAGCTTTGTCAAGACTAGATTATTGAGCTTGTCCTGAACTTTGCCTTTGGACTATTTCTTCTTTTTTGGCTTTGCTCCCAGATTTGTTCACTGGGGGTCCTTGTCTTTCTTGATGACTTTCTGGCATCTTTCTTCTTGTCATCTTTGGGTGGCATTGCAAAGATTGGAGAGCAGCAGCTGCTACTGGAGCATTGTCAAGATCTGGAATGGAACTTCTATCATGGGGATATTGAAAATTTTAAGCTCTCCCAGGTTGCAGACTATTGCATCAGGGTGAAATCTTGAGCTGATTCATGCTTCCTTCTGAAGCTTTATTCTCATTTTGTTAAAAAATGTTTTAGTTGTCAATGGATCTTTTTTTAATACATAATTTTTAGTTGTTGGTAGACCTTTATTTTATTTATGCATTTATATGTAGTGCTGAGAATTGAACCCAGTGCCTCACACATGCTAGGCAAGCATCTACACTGAGCTACCATTCTCACTTTTGATGGTCTAATATTCAATTAATACTATTGTCATAAGAAAGTCATTCATTCCAAAACATGTGCAAAAAGTTCCTTGTTGGTATCTCTGGGACGCTCAGGTATGTTTGAGACATAATCCTTGCTGAAAGAGTAATGTCATAAGATTACACAGTAATGCTGAAACAAACATGAGAGTGCAGATTTACTGATTTAAATTCATGTGGGTATATATGACATGTGGTATAGATCCAAAAGATCATAAGGTAATTTTGAGTTTCTTTAGGAACCTCCATACTGTTTTCCAAGTTGGTTGTGCATCGTTAGTGCCCCAGAGTCTCCTACTTAGGCAAGTGCTGCACCACTGAATGACATTCCAGCCCTTTTAATTTGACTTGGAGACAAAGTCTCCCTAAATTGCCCAGTCTGATCTTGAACTTGTGATACTCTTGCCTCCCAACTACCTGGGATTTCAGGTTCCCAAGTAGCTAGGATTACTGGCCTGTTCCACTGCACCAGGCTATTGTCTTTCTGATAATAGCTATTTTAACAGGTGTGTTTTAAATTTGCATTTCCTGATGATTAGTGATGTGAGCACCTTTTCATATACCTGTTAGCTATTTGTATGTATTCTTTGGAAAGATGTCAGTTCAGCTCCTCTTTTAATTTTTTAAAATCCTCCCTGCCTCTCGGTACAGGATGGGAGGTGGGGGCATAAAAACCAGAGCCTGACCATATGGCGTGCACTCTACCACTGAGCCATAGCCATGTCCAAAATATTCCAACTTTTAATATACAAGATGTTGAAAAGCATCAGTTCTTTTTAAAAACAACAGCCATAACAACAAAAATTCAGACTAGTTCCTTGGCTGAGTGTTAAAAGATCAGAACTAGGAATCAGAGGACTTGGCTCTATCATATAATCTCACCTCTCTAGGCTTGTTTTACCTATAAAATCAGAAGGTGGTCCTAACAACAGCTTACCATTCCAGTTCACACTAGCCACATTTGGCTATGAAATGTGCCTAGTTCGTATAGGATACACACTGGGTTTACAAACAAAACTGAAATGTTTTATGAATAAAATTAATGATTGCATTTTGAAATATTTAGCACATATTGGAATTAAATAAAACTACATTTAAAATAGTTTCATTTGTTTCTTCTTGCTCTTTTGATGTAGCCACCAGAAAATCCAAATTACATATGCAACCCTGGTCTAAAAGATCTCTAATATGCCTTTCAGCTTTAAGAGTCTGTCAGGGGCACTAAGGACACGTAATTCTCGCACGGTCGATTTCCTTGCACTGAGATAAGTAAGGATTGGCCAGCAGTGAGCGGGTTGGGGCGGGGTCCTGCAGGAAAACACAGGCCCCTCCGGCTTCGGCTCTCTCAGGGGGTGGGCTGGAACCCGACACAGGCGCGGGGTCTGGGGACTTAGGACTGGGCCGAGTCTCTACGCCCGGGGTGTCGGGGGCTCGGGGGCCCTGGAGTGAGCGCGGCCGGGAAGCGGGTTCGTGCGTCAGCCTCACGCGGCGGGAAGGAAGCCGGCCCCAGGCCCCGGGCGGCCAGCGCGGGCGCCACTGCACGTCCGCAGGCTCTGCCGGGAGGTGGCGGCCCCTGAGAGGCGGGAGAACCGAGGGCGGGCCTGGGAGGCGGCCCGGAGGTGGGGCGCCGCCGGGGGCCGGCCCGCTTGGGCTTCATCTGAGGGCGCGCGGCCTGCGCCCGAGTGCTGGGGACTCAGAGACGCGGGGCGACGAACGGCCGGAGCGGCTATGGGCCGCGGCTGGGGCTTCCTGATCGGCCTTCTGGGTGCTGTGTGGCTGCTGCGCTCGGGCCATGGTGGGCAGCAGCCCCCGGAGACGGCGGCGCAGAGGTGCTTCTGCCAGGTGAGGGGTGTGCGCGTCGGTGCTTCGGGTCTTAGCACCCCTTGCCCAGGCTGCGCGCTTGGTGTGGAGACACCGGCAATTGAGGGGATGGGGTGCGTCACTGTACCTCCTGTTGCCCGGAACAAGCGCCCTGTGCTTCGTCACCGAGGTCTGAGTCCTCGGCAGCTGGTCTGGGTGGGCGAGGACCGGTCCTCCACCGCAGCCTGGACCTCAGCGCGCCCTGAGGCGCTTGGGACCGAGAGAGGGATGTGAGTGCCTGCTCTATGTTTTTACCAAGTTGGTTTATACATCACCTTTGGCCTTCGCTTCCTGGGGGAAAGGGGTGTGCTGACAGTGAGCACCCATTCTCAGTGTTCGCTATTTTCACAGAATCTGGGTCTTGGTAACTTCTAACTTTACCTGGAACTTGTGTAGCCCGTACCTGTGCTGGATGTCTTTGCCAACTTTTCTGGCCAGATCGGGCTTTTGTAGCCTGGGGAATGCTCTCATTCTCGTTGTCAGGCGGGAGAATGGCTTTGTGTGACTGTTTCTGTGTCCAAGCCCAGCTGCCTGGTATCTTTGGGGGCTCTGGCTGCCCTGTGGCTTCTTGCCCTGTGCTTTCTTTTTCCTGAATGTAATGATCTCTTATCGTGACACTTTCAAAGCTGATATGAATGGAAAGATGGCCAAGGAGTTTGATTACAAGCTTATTACGATTATTTCTCTGTAAGAGATGTTGAGTTCCCTGAGCAAAAAATCTCAAACTTAACAGTTTTCCTGCATCTCAGTGTACTATATTTCAAAGTCATTTTTTCTTAAAGTCACCTTTTGGGGGACTTCTATCAAATAAAGGTTACGTTTTATACAAAATTGGGGCATCCAAATTATTAAGTAGATTTTATTATTTATGATCAGAAATAACATCTATGTGTGTAGGGGTATGTTGCATTATCATGGAGGAAAGAAGCACTTTATGGGAGCAAGAGGTACTGTCCCTTTCACTATTTTAAATTCTTGGACCTTGTTTTGCTGAGTGATTTGGGAGTAGAGATGAGCAATATCTGGGAGCCTGTAATGGAACTTGAAAGAAAATTGCTGCAATACAACCAGAACATTGGAAAGCCCCTTCACCTTCTGTGATTGCAAACAGCACACAATCAAGTACTTGAAAGGAAAAAGGGCTCATTTCCATCAGATTACAAATATTACATACACAAAGTTTAAATATTTAAAAAATAAATAAGGTAGAAATAAGTCTTTAACATATTCAGTGCTTAAACATGTCCAGTGTAACATTTTCAATGATATTCTGGAGGTTTGGATAATGGAAAGAAGTTCTGTTTAACTCTTTGACTTTCACTTTCTCTCCAGTAACCTTTTAGAGGTCTGCTTAAAATTGGGGAAGTTTTAATTTTTCTACATTTTTTTTTTCTGATTAGTGATTAACATCCTCTGATGTACTCCCCAACACAAAAACATGTTTTTTTTTTCCTTTTAAACAAGATTGGTTGTTTTTCAGAGTCAACTTTAACAAATAGTGAACTATCTGGATGTGGAGGCCCATACCTGTAATCCCAGCTACTTGGGAGGCTGAGACAGGAGGATTGCAAGTTCAAGGTCACCCTGGCAACTTAGAGAGACTGTCTCAAAACAAAAACAAAACCCAAAAAGGAATGGTAAATAGGGTAGCACAGCAAAAAGCAATTTTAAGAGAAATTTAAAATGGTGTACTTAAAAACACAGATCATCAATTCTCATTTAAAAAATAAAAGTGTACATTAGTTCTATTATGACCAATAATAGACGGGATGAGAGTGAGGGGAGAAGTGGTGAGAACAAAAGACAAGAAGAGATGAGTGCTACAAATCATTTATTCAACAAACTGTGTACATTGATTTAAGAGTTTGGTAAACAGAAACAACTAAGGTATGATCCTTACCCTGGAAAGCTTACAGTGTGGTGAGTGATGTTCATTGGGAGTTGATAGGAGGTACAGATCCTAGGCACTTAAAAAAAACAAGTTAGTAAATATTGCTAGAAAATGTATTAAAAACTAAAATTTCACCTAATGTTTGGAAATACAACTTAAAATATTCTCTGGTTTGATTTACAGTATCCAATGAGCTGCAAAGTCTTGTGAATTCTGTATTGTTAATAGTCTTATGTGTTTGTCCCTTCCTGTTATCTGTCCTTGCCACTTCTGCTTTGGGTTTCCACATCACCATCTTACAGTAGCACAGGGTGCCTGGCTTAGAGTTGGGGTTCAGTTTATAATATATCAGCTGTGATTTGAGCCAGAGCAGCATATAGTTGTTCTACCTTAGGAAGTCATTGAAATAAAAATGTATAGATCTCTACAAATGATCAGTTTAATCTTAATAAGCATTTGTTGAGGCCTATTGTCAAAAAGTTTTGAGTGATCAAAAAATGAATTTAGGAGCTGGGGTTGTGGCTCAGTGGTAGAGCACTTGCCTCACATGTCTGGGGCACTGGGTTCGATCCTCAGCACCACATAAATAAATAAAATAAAGGTATAAAAAATTAAAAGCCAGGCATGGTTGCACATACCTGTAATTCCAGTGGCTCATGATGCTGAGGCAGGAGAATTCCAAGTTCAAAGCCAGCCTCAGCAATTTAGCAAGGCTCTAAACAATTTAGGGAGACTGTCTCAAAATAAAGTGTAAAAAGGGCTGAGGATGTGACTCAGTGGTTAAATGCCCCTGGGTTCAATCCCTGGCACCCCCACCACCTCAAAAAAAAATTAAAATAGAAGTTTAACATTCCAGAATACTGAACCTGGTATATAATTGGTGCTTAGCATATATTAAGGAAATTATAGTACAAGATGTAAGCACTATGCCAGTAGATATATATATATATATATATATATATATATATTTTTTAATATTTATTTTTTAGTTTTAGATGGACACAATATCTTTTATTTTACTTTTATGTGGTGCTGAGAATCGAACCCAGTGCCTCACGCATGCTAGGCGAGCGTGCTGCCACTTGAGCCACATTCTCAGCCCCAGTAGAAATATTTAAAAAATATTTTTTCTGCTTAGCAAAGCATTTGCATGTTTTTCTGGAATCATTCTTTCAGAGCAGATTAATGGCTCCAAATGAATCTCTCTGAACTTGGTCAGTTATTATAAATGCCTGTTAGTTGACATAAAATCCTACTACACTTATTTTTACTATAGATTGTAAATTCTTTTGTTAATAGCATTTCAGTGTTAGTTGTTCAAATAACTAATGGTTAATTGCTTGGGACTTATAAAATCTTCCTTGTATACTACCCCTTGGTTTTCTTTCTTTCTTTTTGTAAGTCAATCTATTTTAACAAATTTACAGAAAATTGGCTTTGAATATATAAGCTTATGAAGTTTAATACGAGTATAGTTTGTATAAACAACCTTATAACCAGGACCTGCCCTTTCTTTAAACCAAAATAGGATTTGTAATATTTGTGTGGGCTTAAAGCAAATGAAGGTCTTTCACAGTTTATTATCTCTTTTGACAATTACTATCCCATTATTTACCATTAGAAAGAATGAAATAATAGAACTTTAGAAATCCCAATTAATGGAATCCTAGGATGTATTTTAAAGAAATAACCTCAGAAGAAATATTGAAGCCCAGATAAGGAGGCAATATGGACATCTTTTACATTTAATTAAAAATGAGTATAAACTCCTATGCACTCAAAATGTTTTTGCCAGTCTTAGTATGGCAAGTGCTAATAACACTCAGAGGCACTGAAGTGTGGTAGAGCCACATCAGGCCAATGAAAGGAGAGTAGCTCAGATATTCTAAAATGACTTCTCCAAAAGTGGATTATTTTTAGTTTGGAGTGCATTGTAGATATACTCTGCAAACATGTATTTTAATAGATTTAACCTGTCAAGTGTCTCCTTAAGTCAATTTTTAAAGTGGATTTAATTGTTAGCCCAAGTGACAGAGCCATGGGAGAGACACTCGGTTATATGTTGGGTGGCGGGTGGAAATAAGCCCAGAATTAGAACCTAGTCACAAGGATCTTTGAAACAGGTTTTACTGGAGAGGTGTTCATTGACTGAATGCCTGCCACATTCCAGGCTTTTCTGAATAAAAGGGTGTAAAACAAATATTTTCATAATGATGGCTGTGTAACAAAGTTTTAGAGAGACTTCAGACTTTAAAGTGGTAGTTGCTCCCCACCCCCCCTATTTTTTTGTGGTGCTAGGGACGAAACCCAGGGCCTCATATAAACTAGGCAAGGATTCTGCCACTGAGTATACCCCCAACCCTAATGAGTTGGTAGTTCTTAAATTCCACGCCCTTCTACTTGGGATAGAACTTTGGTATATCCATGCTTCTATTGACAGGGTTGCCCTCAAGTACTGTTAAGGAGTGAATTATCTTCATGGTCTTCCTCTTACACTTGTGCTGTTTTGTATCCTTTGATCTACATCTCCTCATTTCCTTCTCCCCCAACCATAAGTAACCACTGTTTCAGGTCTCTATCTTTGTATTTGAACACACATGCTTCCTTTTTTAACACCATAAATTCTGCATATAAATGAGATCATGCAATATTTTTTCTGTGTCTGGCTTATTTCACTTAGCATAATATCTTCCAGGCCTATCTATATTATGGACAATATCATGTGTGTGTCTGACATTTTCTTTATCCATTTGTGGGTAGGCATTTAGAAATCTAATGTACAATATGAGGACTATAGATAATAATAATGCATCATATTCAAGATCTTTGCTAAATGAGTAGATAATAGCTCCTCTTGCCATGAGGGTCAGGGGAATAATTGTGACATGTTGGATATGTTAATTTGCCCCACTAGTAACTATTTATACACACACACACACACACACACATACATACATACATATATATGTAGGTATATATCTGTATCTGTATATATAACATTCCATGTCACATATCTTAAATATGCACATAAGATTTATTTTTAAATTTTTATGTTATTTTTTATGGTCCCCAAACAAAATAAAATTAAATA